TCCCTACAGCATTTCGGGAATGTTTGCGGGTAAAACCAGCTACTTTTCTATGACTGTGATTTCCGCAACTCCTCCCAATTAATCCTACCGACCAGTGTATCTTCCCCAAAAACAAGTGCATTTTGCGCGGCCGAGCTGACTTTTATTAATTTTTCTTGTTTTTTGTCATTGCTGGAGTGGAGAATCATCGATAGTTTTGTTAGCTTGGATTGCCCTGTGTGCGTCATCATTTATGATTCGTTGCATTTTTTCGAAAAAAAGAGGGTTTTTCGAGTTAGATTTCTAACTTTCAGTGCTATTCTTCTCGCCATCTCTTCAAGTTTTTTTCATTGCTTTCTCATTCTGTGTAATCTTACGATTCATTTGAAGAGCGGAGGTTTCTTTTTTCCCGTATTATTCTACTCGTATGATTCCGAAAAAGCTAAAAATTTTTTTGCAATTCCCCTAAAAGCCTCTCGACTCACTCTTTTTTTGCGTGAAAAAATTCCTGGCGAGTTTTTTGGATTTTTGTGACGCATACGATCATCTAATGACTGCACGCGAATAACGTCATGTGATGACTCATGAGTTTTTTTTTTCCAGGATGTCTGGCAATGGATCGACACTTCAGGTGAGCATTTTTTTCGAGCTTTTTTTTTGGTAAATTTTTAGTAGAAAATTTTGCGATTTTAAAAACAGTGGAGGAAGAAAGCATTAAATAAAGAATGTTAAAATAATGATATTTAAAAAAATACAAGAAAAGAACGTAATAAAATATATCAAGAAATAGTATGAACAGAAATGTTTCGATCCATTAAGTTTTACACATTCCTATTCAGCAACGCCACAGGGCCTCATCAGTACAGTGGTTATGGAGTTGTTCTGGGTGTAGAGATAAAATAAAATAAATGTAAAAATTTTTATGTATGAGAAAGTTAGGGAATAAGATTATGCGCCCCCTATTTTTCCTACTGCTTAACTGTCATTTTACTATAAATACCAAAAATTACTTGAGCAGTCAGTATGGGATTCCTCTGTTTAGTGATGTGATTGAGATGTTACGACGCAGTGGGACCCTTTCATCTCGACTTTTTCTTTTTTTTTTTTTGAAAGATTATCATGAATTATAATAAAAATGCTAACAGGGTTTTTATGAATTTTACATGAATCTGAGAAAGTATTAACTATGTTTAGTTTGGATCTGAAATGAATTTTGGCATAAATTTAAAAAAAAAAAAAAAATCATGTGATATCACGGATTCCGAGGTTTTTTATGAATTTTAACATGTATTTTAGTTGTCAAATTGCAGAAGGCGATCGAACTGGTAACAAAAGCAACGGAGGAAGATAAAAAGAAAAACTATCAAGAAGCTTTACGTTTGTACGAGCATGGAATTGATTATTTCCTTCATGCAATCAAGTGTAAGTTTCGCAGCTTTTACAGCTACATGTAAAGAAGTGGCGTGGACTGGGTACGTTGTTCGTCTTGTTGACAGCTAGTGAATTTTAAGTTTTTTGCAGGTCACTTGCTAATTTGGCAACCTGGAAGACTAGAAGGCTGTAATTTTAAGAGGATGTTCTCTTTCTACATAAGTGTTAAATAGTTCAAGCCTAGCCACTGAGTATGGAACGGGCCAGTGGTACCCACAAGAAAGTAAAAGACCGCTTGGGTGGCCTTTGAAGAAGTGATGACGGTGGGTGTTATTTGGCAATATGCAGTTTGGGATAAAACAAGATACACATACACACACACACACGAAC